CACAAAAATCCTCAAAACCTAGAGGCTCCAATCCTGACTTCTCTTGCTGAGCCGACCTCCCCTCAGCCCCAACAAACCTAAATGTTCCTCAGGAGACTCCTCCGCGATCCAGACTGGGACCATCCCAATTCTTCCTTGAGCAGAGCCCCATTTTCCGCGTTTGATGTGTTTATGCGCGCCTGTACGCCAGATCTGACCTGCTACCCACAGCACATGGCACATTGTGCAGAGAGGTGGAGAGAGGCGATTGGAATCCACAGCCGGAGTCCATACTGCACAGAGAGAAGCAAGAGATCTGGTTGCCTCCTTGTAGTTTACATGTGAGGGGGAGCTGGAGCCAGACAGCGGTACATCCTCACTCCACCTCCTCCTAAACGGAACACACAGCACAGATAAACTTGAACCTCAGTTCCCTGGTACAGACCTCAGATAAGTGTGAGGAAAGTGGATGGATATACGGGGTCATTTTTAGGTACACCAGGGGGCATTCCCAGATGCCTTCCTCCCCACATTCTTGGAGGGGGAGAGGGAAAGAGAAAAGGGGAAGAGAGAAGAGCGACCCTTGTAACACATCCTTTCTCACTGCATCTCTTTACAATCAATCTTTCTTAGACTGTCATTATTTTTCCATCTTGCCTGAAGGTCTCTGTCCAATGGCTCCTGATGTCTTCTCTCTGCCTATCTGTCACAATTGTAACCCGTCTCTCTCTGCTGTCTGTCTCTGCCTCTCCTTGCCACCTGCCCTGTCTCCATGGTTACCATAGCTTCCATCTGCATATTTTAGGAATGAGTTTGTGTCCAGCTGGAAGGCATCAGGGAAGTGGAAGATGAGGGGAAAAAAATCCCAAGGATTTGGAAAACTCACCTGAGATCATTCATACTGGCGGCCACCAGACACAAGATACTAAAAATAATGTTCCTGGAGAAGGAGGAAGAGAAATATTGCTGGGAAGCTACCCATTTTTATTAGCCACCATTTACGGGACGCCAACTATGTGCCAGGTACTTCATATATATTATTTCCAATCTTCACAACAATGCTATAAGGTAGGAATCTCCTTTTTATCTCCTTGTTATAGGTGAAGAAACTGATACCTAAGTTAAGCAAGTTCTTCAAAACCTCACAGCTCTGTTTCTGTCCTATTCCAAAGACGGGGCACTTCCCACTGGATCTACAGCCTCCCAAGTCAAGAGGCTTCACTCCCAGGCCCATTTTCTCTGACATCTGGGATAGTCTTCTTGACTAACTCCTAGATTTTATGTCCACTCTGAATTCCTTCCGTGTGTGTGTGTGTGTGTGTGTGTGTGTGTGTGTGTGTATGTGAATGAAAATAGGGCTCCTCTCCGCCTCCCTCCCACCAACCATGCCCCCCTTCAGCAAGGGCTAGGAGGAGCTGGAAGGCAATAGAAAATGTAGGAAACACTGGGCTCCTTCCCTGCCTCCCCAACTCTGGTTCTCTAATTCCTAATCCTTCCTTCCCCAAACTTTCCGCTCATCTTCTCACAGACATGGCAACAAACCACAGGGGGAAAAAATAATAGAAAATAAGTATTCAGTGGTGGTGCTGGAGGGAAGCCGTGTAGGACTGGAGGGAAGGCAGGAGTGATGGAGGGGAGGCCGAGCTGTGAAGCCCCAGTCACAAAAAGAGCGATCCCTAAGGAACAACCCTTTCATTTCTCTGTGGGAGCTTTCTCAACAGTGTCCCTCGGCGAGTTCTAAGCGTGAACTCTCGCTAGCCAGGAGCTCCGCCATCTGAGATGAGGTCGGAAATAATCAAGCCCTGGTTGATTCTGCAACCCTCTCTCCGCGACACGGCGGGCTTCCCAAGCCTGGGTTCTGGCTGACTCTCCCCCTCCTTCCTTCTCCTCGGCTTCAAGTGGGCGGATCTCCCTCCTGGTCTTCTCCTAGATTGGCCGGGAGAATTGACCAATGGGAAGCCCTGGGAGGCGGAGCTAGGGCGCCAGAAGCTAGAGGAAGACCTGCAAATTTCAAGTTGGCTGCGACGTGGGCTCCGCGTGGGGGAGGGGCAGCAGGTAAGGCTCCGTCCCGGTAGCGCTGACCTGGTTCTGTCCCACACCTCCCGAACTAGTTCGCCAGGGCCACGCTGCGAGATAGATAGACAACGCATTCCGGCAGCCTGTTGGATCAGCCCCCTCTGGTTTCCTACTCTTCTTTCCCTTTCTCTTCAGGGCTCCCATTGCTGTACCGATTATACAGAGAACTGCAGTTTTCTTTCGTGCATAGGGGAGACAGATTAAAGCACAAAGTGAGAAAATTCACTCTTGTATCTCTGACTTTTTGTTACGGCATCAGCTTCCCCCGAATATTTTATCATTATTCCCTTGTCTAAGAGTCTGACAAACTCCTGTTATCTATTAAGAATCAGCTGAAATATTGTCTCCTACCTGTAGCTTTCTTGGACCACCTCTTCTTCCTTTTTTCTTTTTTCCTTCGTAATTAATTGTTCCCCAGTCTGAAGGTAACGTTTTATGCGTACCTCTATTAGAGCACTTAGTGTGTGGTCTCTAATATTTCTCTGTTCTTCTGAGAATATAAGGTTTTGTAGGCAGGTTCTTGTACTCAATACAAAGTGCCCAATAAAGGTTACTTGAATGGAATTGATTGCGAAGGCCGACTTTAAACTCCTAGCATAATTAGGGAACAATTAATAAAAGATGCAATAAAATACAATACAGTATCTAATTAAGATCTCTTAAATTAGTGGTTTGTAATTCAATTGCTCCCACAGTCCAGAGAAAGGAGAAAGCTAGGAGGACCGGGATGGTGAAGGGAGGCTTGATGAATCACCAGGTCTCAAGTTTGGAAGAGCCCTCAGAAATCATGTATTCATCCATCTATCCATTCATTCATTCATTCATTCAAAAAATATTTATTGAGCATCTACTATATGCCAGACACAATGCTAGACAATGGGGATCATAGTGAATCCTCTACTTTAGACATGCGTCCTTCCTCTGATAAACCATATTTAGTAAATTGTTACCCATCTTCTACTTAAACATCACTCGTAAGAAGACTCCCTAGCTCACTTTGCAGGTCATCCCATTTTTGGATATTTGTTCTTCAGTTAATATCCAACAAATATTCTAAACAAATATGTAGCTCAACGAAATGCCTTCCTCACCTCCATTGTAAAAGAAGGAGCACTGTCCTGGTGGTAGCATTCTTAAAAATAAAGAAAAACCATCCCCTTTGGTTTCTTTCTTTCTTTTTTTTAATGCTTATTTATTTTTGAGAGAGACAGAGAGAAAGACAGAGTACGAGCAGAGAGGGACAGAGAGCAGAAGACACAGAATCTGAAGCAGGCTCCAGGCTCTGACCTGTCAGCACAGAGCCTGACATGGGGCTCAAACTCACGGACTGTGAGATCATGACCTGAGCCAAAGTCAGTCCCTTAACTGACTGAGCCACCCAGGTACCTTCCCTTTGGTTTCTGATTTAAAAAGTAATATACATTTATTCTAAAAAAATTGGAAACACATAAAGGTGTAGATAAAAATGTCTATTATTTCATGACCATGATCTAGGGATAACCGTTATTATTATATTATTATTATCAATTTCTTTTCTGCACGTATACATGTGTGTGTTACATAAATCAGGCTATACCACAAATATAATTTTTATCCCATTTCCCTCCACTGTACATAGTGAACATTTTTTTTTGCCTTTAAGTATTATTTGAAGTCATTTTTCTTTCTACATGATAGCCTAAAGTGGATATTTGATTTTTTTTTTAACCATTCATTTTTTTGTTGAGCCATTTAAGTTATTTCAGAAGTTTTGCTACCATGGATAGCTCTTTGATGACTAGACATGTTTACATGTCTGACTATATATGTGATGACATCTTTAAGGGTACATTTTTTAAAGTAGGATTACTGGATTAAGGATATGAACATTTAAAAGGCTGTTGCTCCCCTGAAATACTGTGTATAAAGACAATCCTTCCAATGAGGTATGAGAGTGTCCCATCTCAAAAAAACTGTGGCAACCTGATTATTCTTTAAGTGTTTGTCAATTTGGTAGGTGAAGAATGGTTTTGTCGATCATTATTTTATCAATTGCCTATTCATGTCCTTTGCACATTTATTCTATTGGTATGATTTTTTTCATTTGCATGTCCATGAGTTCTTATATAATAAGAGTATTAACTCCTTGTTTTATTTATCAGAAATATGGGAAACCCTAAATATTAGAGTGCCCTAGGCCTCAATCTCTGGATCTCTTCTTTTCTCTGTTCACATCCACTCCTTTAGGGATCCCACCCAGTCTCATGGCTTGAAATATTTGTATACTGACAACTCCACCAATTTAAACTCCATTGGTATAGCAGTTTTGTTTGTTTTGCTCACTGCTATGTCCCTAGCACTTGGAACAGTGCTTGGCATATAACAAGCACTCAGTAGATATTTTTTGAATGAATTAAGATGGTATTATTATTATTATTATTATTATTATTCCCATTTTACAGATGAGGAAACAGGTTTAGAGATATTAAATAAATTGCTGTAGGTTGTATAACTAGGAAATGGCAGAACTAGAATTCAAATCCATGTTCTTAACCACTACACGTACTGCCTTTCTTAAATTTGATGTCATGGTTTTTCTGTATTTTGTTGAAATCTGCTTCTTAGTAACTTCTACCACAATACAGTTAGGCATAAATGGGAATAAGTGTCATGTATATGAGATGTTGTTGTTTGGGGGAAGGAGAGTGCACAGGTGAACTCTAGGGAGGGTTGACGATAAGAAAAAGCAATTTGGGACCAGATTATGGAAGACCCTAAATATCCTCAAGAATTTAGATTCAATCACAATCTTAAAGAATAGAAACTCATGGTAGATTCCTGACCTGAGGGGGTTGAGATGGATGGTTCAGTTTCCCAACCAACCACCAGTTTATTGCCTCAATTAAATAAAGTTTTTTCTTTTTTTCCTCTCTTTTTTTTTTTTTTTTTTTTTTTTTTTTTTTTTTTTACCCACATTCTTGGAGGCCACTTGGTTATATGTGGAAATGGAATTCAATGTGTCTAACCTCAAAGCTCACAGCTTTTTCTTGACTCCTTACTGCTTTGCAATCAAAACAGCTCCCGTCCCC